AAAAAAAAAAAAAAAAAAAAAAAAACATACAGACGAATTGAGTACCTCCTTCTTTTGGGAAGTCGGTCAAAAATGTATGGGTTTGGTGCAAAAAGAAGTCTAACTTAATTTATTTCAATAAAATTAACTGACCTTATTTAAATAGGGTAACCCACGAAGACGTGCGAGTGCAGCAGCTAGCACCGTTTCTCGCTCGTAAGTCAGGATGACGATAGTAAACTGCTCCCTGGGCCGGTCTCCTCCCAGGGCCTCGCTGAACTCCTTACCGGAGCCGCCCGCCCCCGCGCCTATAGGCCGGAACCCAGCCGCTGACCCCATGTACCTGGCCTCAGACGTCACCGGAGGGTCCCACGGCAATTGTGGATAAAGCGCGAAAGGCTCTCCCCAATCATTCCACATCTCATACCCTTGCAACAGGCCCAAAGAATAGTTCCGTCTGTACGCTGGACTCGGGTAAGGGGCCTCCAGCGGCCCCAGCGTCTCCTCCGGCTCCGCATCCACCGCCGATGGTTCAAGTTTCGGTGGTGAAAAGGAGTCATTGAATGCGGGCGCACCCATAGTCGGCACTGCGGGACGCGCTGGGATGTTTAAACGAGTACGTATCGTAGCCAGTAAGGAATCCATACTCGCTTGAACAGAACTCAAATACCGTTCCCACAAAACTCTGCCCTGTCTTCTGAACGCTAGCAGATCATAATCCGATAACGCTCGTAGAAGAAAATGTAGTTCCGTTACACGCGCTTTGGGCAAAGATAAAACAGCTCGACGCCAATCTAGCACCTCATCGTATGGTAACCTCGTCCGATCTCCGCCGAGGATGACAGGGATAGCGCCCGACCGTAGCGCTTCGTACAACCTTGCTTGTAATAACGCTGTCGTAGTATAACTACTGTCACCCGGAGCCAATATTAACACGAACGTCGAATCCCGCAACACGGATCGTCTCGATCTATCCGTCCCACACAACGCCCAATCGCCAATAGATTTCAACGAGCGCTTTTCTACAGGCGGGTCGCAATCGAATTGCAAATAAAATAAGTCAGATTCGGGAGCCGTGCTAGCCATCTTCTTTAGGCGTTCTATTAAATAAGTATCGTTGTCCTTTTGAATGGAAGTAGTCAGCGATTGTGATCCCTGAAAACTAAATGTCGCTTATCAATGTAAACAAATACTCTAATGGACATATGAAAGTGAAAGGTTACAAACCTGAGAAGATATTTTCTCCTCGCCGGTGCCATAGGTGCACAGTCGGACCACACATCGCCGCCGGGAGGGCCGAGCGCCGGCGGAGTCACCAGGTCGAATCCTGCACGAAACTGATTCAACGTGTATGTGGACTGAGCGATCATAGCCCGGCCTGTAGATGCTCCGGAGAAAGCATCACCCGACCCTACAGATAGTTCCCGCCTTGCTAAATTCAGTAACACATGATTACGTCCATCTCCCCCCCAATAAGGTAAATTTCTGATTGCGGTTTCATTTAACATTTTATATGGCTCTATTGTCGACCTAAAACACCAAGAATAGTATAAAAATAAGTAGGCATTAAATAAAACATTTAATACTGGGATAAAAAAGTGAAAAACTTACGTAGCTGTTTTTTCAAATGGGAACGATTCTCCGACTAGAACAAGATATACACAAGCTTCGTTGGGATTCTGCGTAAGATGTGCATTGTACCCGAGGGTCTGACGTAGTGTAGTTTTAAGAAATCCATCAACTTCGGCGCCTGCTAAGGGTGAAAAGACATCGGGATCGTAGAAATAGATAGGGAAACCTGAAGTTAGTGAACATCGAGAGTGGTCGAAGCAAGAATGCATTCGACAGTTTGTCTCTGAAGAGAGACTTATGGGCGGAAGTATGGGTGGTGGTTGTGAGGGTAGTATGAGAGCGGGAGGTGCGAGTTCGGGGGTATCTCGTCGAATCGCCTCGAGCTGAGCGAGCCGCGCTTGGTCTGCGGAAACGCGTAACCGCTGCAGCTCAGCTGTCGCTCTCGCATATTCCGCTTTGACATTGTCAGCTTTAGCACTCGCAGCTGCAGATTCACGTTGAAGTCTTCCACGTTTTTCTTCTAATTCTCGTAGTTCGGTGGATACAGAGGCCTAGTGTAATATACATAATAACTTATTTTAAAACATTAATTCATATGTGATTTTAATTTTCTCAATAACACATAGGGTAGTATGTCAATTTAAGATGGGAAAGGATCATCTTATAGGTACATAATAGTGACACTTAAGCAATCTAGCTACAAAATTGTTTACATTAACAATTGTAGTTAAAAGAAAGCATAGAATACATGTATTAAACAAGTATTTTCTGATAAGGTTCAAGCTAAATATGTACATAATACTCATTCAATATTATTAATTCAATACTATTGTATATTAATTACCTTGATTCTAAGCATTTCTTCTATCCTCAATTTAAGATCAGCTGCATTCATTGTTGAAATATCTCCCAGAGCTTCCAAAGTATGTCTCATAGAATTGCTCCCTAAAGCAACGGATGCAGTTTCATACTGGAAATAAATAACTTCTGAATGTTGTATACAATGTCACATGCAATTACTGGTTAAAGTAATGTTTTTAGATTTTTGCAATACACTGCATTGATCGGTATTAGTTTATTGCGAAATTATTAAAACTTTTCTAACTCCTACCTTTGCAGAGATTCTTTTTATATACTAGAGGTCCATTTCAAAAAGAACAATAAGCATGGATCTAGCGTACTTTCTAAATCACATTTCTTTTATGTTACCTCACTTTTCTTATACATGTAATGAAAACTATCGAATATGATTAATTAGGAAATAGAGAAGTATTACCTTAGATAAATAATAATGGGTAAAAAGCGGGACGACGAACAGAATAACAGAAACCATTACAATTACACGAGATAGTTTTATATGACCAAGCCAAAGGCAGACACGCTCGTAGAGAAACATTGTATTTTTTGTACTTTTATACTTTATATAGCATTAAATCATCTTAACACTGAACAACTTTTATTAAATTATGCGGTATCGATATATGTAATATTTCTGTTTATTTTATTCATTTCGCTTTGACATAATGGTCTGTCACAATGATGTCTTCTTATGACAATTCAGTCAAAGAGTAGCAAATATAGAATATGAGTTAGACATAGTGGAAATCAATAGTAATCAACGTTCAAATTAGTTTTAAAGTCTTATTTTTCTTTCCTCTTGTGTTTTGTTTTCATAATGTAAGTTTACAACTACACTATTTGTAAGCTATTGGTAAGATTTCTATTGCTATAACATATTTACGCTTGTTTTTTTTGTATTATCTAAAAGTTGGCTAAAAGACTAGGATCCATAGGTAGTTTACCCTCCCTCTTCACTCTACCTCACCTCACAGCTGATCAAACGTCAATTGTCAAGAAAATGGAGTTTTGTTACGCATAGTAAATTATGATAAAAAGTTCCAATATGAAGTCTAACACTAAATCTTTTGTGACCTGCATGGGTTAGAATGGACCATTCGACTCCATTTCAACCTTGGGCCAGTGATGATAATACAAAAAATGTTAAAGCCGATAGAGAATTAGTGGATGACGCGAAACTTCATCGGGAAAATGTCAATCATCCAAAACATAGGCAAACTGCGTCTTACGATAAAGAAAGTGTCGTTGCTCCAATCGGTATCCCGGGCCCATCAACGATTCCAGGCACTGATAGTGCCCCGGGTGTCAATAAAGAGTCCATAATGGACTCGAGCAAAATAACTTCTATGCAACAAATCGTCGAGAATACTCTCAGGTATCGCTCATTTACCAACTAACAATATTTTTACACCTTTTTTACGTTTTACGTGTCTAGCTTACTTTAAATATATAAGAATTATTATTGGAACCAATTATTCTGTAAATATTGAAACAATAAACATGCAAAATATTGCAACAAATAAAAAGGCATCTACTCTACACAATACTTACTCCAAGTTTCACTTTGATTGATATGTAATTCATATATCTCCATTGTTATAATTACTTTGTGTACTAATATTGAAATATGAATTGATTTGGGAATTTGATCTTTATTTGCCTTATGTAGAGTTTATTAGATATTTTTTACAGACTTGTTAAAACCTTTAAATACTATTAAGACTCGTTATTATTTTTGTTTATATAGTTTCCACATAATCAAACCTTAAAAATAAAATTTAAAGTGGCTTGGAACTTGTTAAAACCGTACTGGTCAACAAGAGTGTAACATAATAAAACAAAAATGCATATTATTCATAAATAGAGAAATATAATTAGTCAGTTTCACTGTATTACTTTACTTTTCAAAACTACAAAAATGTACTAAAGTATTGCTTTTATTATTTTATCACTGTTTGTAATTTTCTGTTGTTTCCAAATTATTGATTGTAATAATTGTATGTAAATTACTTGCAGCCAAGAAGGTCGTCAAAGAGTAACCCAATTGTTAGAAGCAGTAGAGGCTCTGAGTGGTGCTGAGAGACTTTTACTCTATCTTCGTCTGCCAACAGGTGTTCCACCTCATGATCCTTTGAAACAACCAATCAATCCATTAGGTTCACGGTACGTAAAACAGTATTACACAAGTAATGTACCTGTGCTTAAACAATCAATTTATTAGTGCGCATATAATTTTAGAGCGGAACTACAACAAACTGTAACATGGATACAAACACACTTGGAAGTGGATCCGGATGTTTCTTTACCAAAGCAAGATGTTTATGATGAATATATGTGAGTGTTTTTATTTTTATAGTGTTGAGTATCACCAACCACATTTTTGTTTATTAATTTTTGAATAAAACTATCGGAATAGTTAATTATTACATTAGTTATTATTACAGGCTGAAAATCAGCTCCTCGTGGCATTGCCCATGTGGTGCATACTGTGCCTGCAGCCCTTTGTTATCATATTTTTTTTTGTGTTAAATATTTTCACTGTATATAAATGTATCTATATGATGACAATAAAGGGGTTTTATTATTTTATTATTAAATACTTAATTAATAATAGATTATAAAATTATCCAGATATTGTAAATACAATGCCTTTATGCAGCCTGAAATCCAATTACACGCAAACAGGATAAAATTCAGTTTAAAAATAGTTACATCAGTATGTGTTAATTTGTTGTAAATATCTATCAATGTTTACTTTCGCAATTGGACTGAAAAAAAAGTTAAACATAATATAATATTTCTTATTCGGTATTAGCATGTGTTCCAAAACTTTATTTTCTTAACTAAACAGATTATAGTAATATAATATATGTGAAAGTTTTGATGAATTAATGAATGGGTTTTTATTACTATTTATGTCCAAAATAGCTCATCGGATTGTGCTAAAATTTGGTATAAATATAGAACATAAATGAAGAATACTGAGGCTACTAAATATTTCTTTTCCTAATTCCGTGACGTTAGGTGCAGGCAACAGCGAAATAAAGCTAAGGCATTAAATTATTTATTTATATATTGTTCATTTATTTATGTCTTTATTCAGAGCTCATTGTATGAGTAGCAACATGAAGCCTTTGTCAACAGCTGATTTTGGCAAGGTTATGAAGCAAGTTTATCCAAGTGTTCGTCCCCGTCGTCTGGGAACTCGAGGCAACTCGAGGTATGATGATTTTATAGAATAATACCTATTTTCGTTTAACCATATTTTTAACATTCCTTCAGAGATGTAACTCTTGGTTGTTGCAAGGGTCAATTTATTTTTAAATGATTACTTTTGTTAGATATTTAAATAAGAATGTACTTTTTATATATTAATAATTGTATGTATTACAGGTACTGTTACGCTGGTCTTCGTAAGAAAATCAAGCTGGAAGTGCCACAGTTACCTGTATTAGGAGAATCATCAAAAGTATTTATGTTATATATTTTATTGCATTGGTTTTTAATATAATACAAGAGGGTGTATTTGCTAGATTAGTGTGTATTAATTGAACGTAGCGGGCGCTAAGCTACTAAGCTTTGATAAGTTACAATGTTTCAAGGTAACAAATGTATTGAAACCACTTCGGATCATTTAAAAATGTATGCAACATTATCTGCTGAAAAATTTTAATCAAATACACTTAGTTCAAATTTTCAAATAAGTATGGAGAGAGTGAACCAATACTACATTAATAATAATCCATCTGGTTTTCAGGAACCAACAGTTGCTCCTAGAGAAACTGAAAGAGTTGTTTGTGAATGGGCTGAAAGCAAACTTGGTATGTGAATATTACTTTCTTTTTTCACAACTTTCATGATATATATTCTGCTTATGTCATTGAGCTATACTATTTTGCTACTGGGTATATCGCTGTAGCAGTGATAGTTATTGAAATTTGAACTGTTTTACTTTGTGTTAAGGTATAAAATTCGGAAGCATAGGGGAACTGTCGCGCCACTTGGCGACAGCTGGCCAGCAGAGAGCGCCGCCCGGGCCCGCCAGCGCCTCCCCGCCGCCCTTGCCACATGGTATGATATGGCTGTGTTTCAAAATTATTTTTAAAGAGAGACAAGAAAATAAAATAAAGCAATTTAAAAAAATATTAGAACTTATTTCATATAAAATATACTTTGAAGATATTGTTGTATAGATGTACGTATTGAAAATGTAATATATCATTTTGTCCAATGTACTAGTCAATGATATTTCCATAAAAATATTTTGTCTGCTTTAGCCCCTGCAGAAGAACCCTCCGGGCGTCAATTGATAAAGCAGTTAAAGCGAAAATTACAGGTGAGTGTAGCCGTTTAAGCAAATACGGTGTTTTTGTTTGGAAAATTTTATATTATGATCGTTTATTGCAGACGCAGGGCACACCGGGTCGACCAAAGAAGAACAAAAGCCAAGAGATCAGCGGAGAGTCTCCCCCGTCTACTTCATACGTAAGTCAACATGCTCCAGTCAAACACGAAAGCGAAATGGTTTCTGAAGCGGGCTACGGATACCAGCCTCCCTACATGCCCGTGTACGACGTGCGGCCGCCCTTCCCGCCCTACGGCGCACCCCCGCGCGCGCACCCCCCGCACCCGCCGCACCCCCCGCACATGGCGCCCTCGCCGCATCCCATGGCCGTACACGAGTATCGACCAGACCCTTATGTCTTCGAGCCGCCCTACGCTCCACGCGACCTCACCTTGCCCACCGACACCACGCATAATTTGCCCATTAACCTAAGCAGCGACGCATCACTAGATCTATCTACCGAACGTACTGAATTACAACGACGTCGACCTCCGGAGCCTCCGCCGGCGCGTCTCCCGCTGCCCGGCAAGAAACTCATCCTCGAGACGTACCAGAGCGAGACGCAGGCCGGCTCTCCCCGCTCCGCGCACTTGGACACGCGCGCCGCGCACCACGTCACCGAGGAGTTCCCCAGAACGGAATACTTACCTAAAAAGATGAGAGCCGCGGAAATAATGGGCGGCAAGCTGGCGGCCGCCAGGCAGGCCTTGTCTTCCGCCGAAACGTCCACGTCGTCGGTCATCACCGAAACAGCTCGTTCCGAGGTCGGTTTTTTAGAGGATCCAAAAAACTTAACGAGCCGGTCCAAAAGCACCGCCGCGGCGCTGGCTCGGGAGGAACAGGAGGCGGCGAGTCCGACGCGGTCGGTGAAAGCTCTGACGCCTAAGTGCGAACGCCCCAAACTACGCAAACCATACTGTCGAACGAAGGCATCTTCCCCCGATAAAATAGACTTACCCGAGCGAACGGCTACGCCCGACACCTGTTGCGGCCTGGTCGAGATCAATATCAAAACTGGCATGATATGCGAGGAGAAACATTCTGAAATTTTGAATAGAGAACGAGTTATTAGCATATGTAATATAGATAAACATGATCTAGATGATTACCTTAACGAAGGCAACAGTCAAGAACACGAAGAGGAACTGTTGCAGTACTTCAACCACCGCGAGACGGAGCAAGAGGCACCGGCGCAAGCGAACACTAATCTTAATGCGCCGCCTTTTTTAGAAACAAGCCAAGACCCGCACGACGAACACAGCCAAGGAAAAAATGAGAAGTTATCACAGTTGCGAGAGTTATTAGCTAAAAATTTAAAAAGTCAAAATGGGTCACAAAGCGTTGCAATAAATCAAGATGTTCATTTGCCGTTAGAAACGTCTCAGGAAATGGCGGATAAATCAAATGCATCAGTAGCCGAAGGAGCCTTTAAACCTGTCTTAGGAGCAAACGTAGTGGATTTGATGAATGGTTCAACTTTATCAGACCCGGGAGAAATAAGTAGTAATAACAAACATTGTAATTCGAACTCGAATGGTAATGGTTCTTGTGTACCTTTACCAACTGACGCGCCGAATCAATTGATAACAAACATGTCCGGAGGATCTCATTTGTATAACGGCAACTGCCATGAACCGCAGAGTCCTACCACTAGAACGCAACAGTATGAATTTGTCCCTATTTCGGATGCGTGTCATTCTCCTGGCAATTTTCATTGCAAATCTCCGCTAGGATTTAACGACAGAGGTCACAGTCCTACAAAGATTAACAAATCTGTTATAATGGGCGGGTCTCTTCAAACGTCGCCGATCTCGCACAGTACTGCCGCCAGCCCATTCGTAAGTCCTAGGAATACTCCTGTGCCTAGATCAAGACTTTGCTCTCGACCAACACCTAAATTAAACGGCAGGAAAAGGCGAAATCCATTATCTCTCGGCATGAATGATTCGGGTTCTAAACAGTTTGCGGTGCCCAATGACCAAAAGTTTATGTCCAAATCGACAGTTTGCAATTCTATCAAATATTGCCAGCCTATGTCAGCCCCGCCATCGCCTAATATAATCACTCAGTATAAAAATCAAATGCTTCAAAATACTCCCTTTATGCAGAACGGTACGAACCACGTGTGTTTAAATTTTGTTCCCAACTCACTGTTTCGGGAAAATATAAACGGAGATTTAGCCCAACCGTTATCTGCCGATCCGTTATCACGGGAAGTAAGTCAATTCTTTCAGGAGCCGGTGAGCTATGGTATGGGTCTCGACACTTCTTATCGGTCTCAATCAGTGCCCCTGAAGCCCGGAATGAATAACATCAGCCTTTTGAGCTACAATAATACTCCAGTAGGCTCTGTTCCTCCCACACCGGTACCAAACGAGTTTAGTGATTTCGGGTCGCTCGCCGATACGTGTGACATATCAAAGGCCGGTCTGAATTCAGAAACTTTAGACAAGATTTATGACGCGATAGATAGTAGTAACGATGTACTTAACACTGGTGCCGCACCGAATCTTTTGAATTCCAACGATGCTTTAACCAACGGTTGTGACTCTATACCTGAACAACAAATTCTAACCGATGAACAATTGAATCCGTTTATTCCAACGGGCAATGAATTGCTAGACAGAAATAGTCAATTCAATCACTCCTTTGGTAACGAAGATGCGGGAACGGATAATGTAGATGAGTTTTTGAAAAGAACTAATAGTATAGAATTAGATCTATCGGACCTCGTACCGGACAAAAGCAAGTACTACACGTCGCGGTCTGTGCCGAGCACGCCCTTGCCGTACAAGCGCACAGCGCCCAATCTGCAGATCGATTCGCGACGCTCGCGGGAATTGTTCTCAACGGACAATTATTCTAATATATCGAACGGCATATCGTCAAAATCCGTACCTTCAACTCCGCAACTCGCTGAAGATAGAAGCGTGTTTAGTTACAGCAACAGAGATTTTCTTATCAATGGTAATTCCGTCGAAGTGTGCGGCTCAACTCAAATACAAAGTATGGTAGATAATGATCAGGGTCTTACGTCGCCCTTAGATATGCTACGCGAAGATATACTAGCGCCGCTAACTTCGTCAGATTTGTTGGCGGATCTCGATAAAATGGATGGAACTCCATACGTCGACCTCTAGTAGACCGTTTTAATAACCTTATGTTTCAATTTGTACAGATATCACTTAGTAATGTAATGGATATCTTTTCGAAGTACAATATTATTTTTATGCCTTCAGTGAAGGTCAACATTTTATTTGTACATTTGTGTATCATAGCTTAAAAGTAAAATATGGATCGCACACTCCCTGATATTCGAGTCAATACAATGCACCATATTATTGTGATAACTGATTGCTATAAAATTGTCGATATCTCCATTCAACATACTATACCATGTTGCCATAGACATTTTACATATTGTGACTTTTGTGTCTTATTTCATTCAATTTCTTCGTCAATTTTATGTATTTTTAAATGTTATATACGATAGAATTTGTGTTAAAATAAATTGATATGTACTTCATGACAATATGACATCGAAATTTTGATATGTACTTTATATATAGGGTGATGCAATCAATTTTAATTGTCTATACATAAGTAAGGTATTCCATGAAGTGGATATAGCTGAAGCTATATTGCACGTGACAGACCAACCCGGCGTGCCAAGCGCGCCAATAATCGTAATCGGTTTTTAAAGTAAAGATAGTATATAGTTTATTATAAATGAATTTATTGTAAGTTAGCACAAAGATTTAATATATTTTATTATCGCATAGGAGTTTTACTCTTATATACTAAATTTACAATTGCTACATTTAATGTGGTATGAATTTTTAAATGTGCCGTTATAATGGTTGCAGTGAGCTTATCGATTGACGATGGAATCCATTTGTTACGAATTAAATTTTAGATTCCAATGCCAGGCCGACCTACGACCATATGTTTTTATCTCAAAACTGAAGCCATTATAATGAAATCCAGAGAATTTGAAAATAAAATAAAAATGATGTCCCAAACTTGTCAAGTTAATACTATATCTTATATCAATGTCCCAATTTATGTGTTAAATACAAATTGTCGATCGCACATTTGTGATTAATTTGTCTTGGTGATAAAAGAATAACAGACGAAAAAATTTAAATTTTTAAATAACAACGATACGCGATGATGATAATCTTGTGGATCGGCTTTTAGAGAGGGACCACTCCGATAATTTCGATTTCGTATTGCGCCATCTCTGTCACACACGTCATGCTTTGTGCGACAGAGACAATGCTCTACAAAATCTAAAGTAGCGGGTTGTCTTTACAAATAACGATATGCAATTTTATGGTTGCGTTTATGTCGTGAAATATTCGAGATCAATCTGCGTTAAAGAAAATTAAATGTATGCAAATAGATCATTATTGAATAATGAATGTTAGGTAATTATCATAGAACTAAAACATGTTGCTTGTATCAAAATATATTTTTAAATGTGTCAGTGCTCATAAACTACACAATAGTACACATTAGGATAATTGATAAACTGAATAAAAAGTCATCGGTACAGTGCAGACCAAAAGGAGATATCAAAAACATAACATTGTCCATAGAATTAGGTGGTTTAAGTTCTTTAGAGATTTTATAAGAATATAGTTGATATGACCAATATTTTATCTTATTACAATACCAATTTAATTACAATAACCTGCGAGATTTCGACTAATTAGTACGAATCCTAACGATCCACGTGTACACTTTCATTTGCTCTCCCTGTTTTTTTATTAAAGGCTGGAAACAAAGTCTGCTATTTTTTATCTGGTTTTTGCAACCCAATTGTTACTTGAGATGTCTTATGCCTCCTCATACACAAACTTTTTTCCAATGTTCCCGTCCGGCACAAGCATGTGTTAGTGGTCAATTGGTGTCCAGTTATTAAGTGTGTCAGACAGTTCCCTCCCAAATAATCCTCTGTATTGTCACAAAATAACCGCTAATAGAGTATAATAATGTTTTTAAATAGAATTTATATTTTAATCCACACTTTATAATTGATTAATGTAATTTCATTAATATAAATTCTGTCGGATTTTACCAATTATTTATTGTTTATAAAATGCAATTTATTACATTAGTTTTCTGCAAATTTGTATCCGGTATTCTCTAGCACCTTGGGACCAAAATATATCTGTCAAATTCAGTTTTTATTTTTTGGTCCCAGGCTTCTTTTTTTAATATTAGTATGATAATATTGTATTTTATTAATTCTTAGATTTAATACTAATTTCTATCTGATTTTTATATGTTATTTTTCGAAACAACAATTCATTTCGACTGGAACGTGGCTAGATATTTGAATACGGTAATACCTTTAAAACGGTAAAGCCCGCTATGCACCTATAGTTTTAACTGGACCGTTTTAGTATTGTACAGTTAAAACTTACTCGTGTAGGAAAAACTGAAAACTGTAAAGTTTCACTGACAGTTAAAAATTTTCCGACACACTTGAGTTGTATCTGTACATTCAGACTGTTCAGTTGAAACTGAATGTGTTTAACGGATTTTATATGAGTTGTAAGCACTAGTACAAAACACATTGACTTGACAGGGATATTGCATACATTTAAGTGAAACCGAAGACTGTTGTAAACTTTGTAGATATTTTCACCGCGTAATGAATTTTGAAAATATATCGGTCAAGCGGCGGTACGCAGTCGATCCGTAAAGCGATACGTTTATTGCGATTTGGTGCAACCAACCAAAACATTTGTACCTAATTATTGTAAATGTACATTGTTATAGTTGTTAGTGTAAATATATATTTTTTTGTATTCCACATTATATCATGAATGTCATCGTAACATCCGTCATACGTCTAATTTTGTACAATTAAGTATAATACTACAAAATATATTATTAATTGGCTGGAAAAACATTACACGCAAATAAAACTAGGCCTAAAATTTCATGTAACATTATCCATTTACTTGTTTTTACATCACCAATAAAAAAAATAGATCGCTAGTTCAACTGATTTCTCATAACCTATTGTCTTTAATCTCATCTGTGTAATAAACAATCGCACACACAACTTTTACGTGTGTTTCGCAACGTAATAATAAATATTCAACGTAATAATTTCAAATCACTTAAGTTTAGCAATGCATGCTTTCGTCTTTAAATGTTCTTCGTGTGAATATTTTATAGTTAATAGGAAGAAATTGTAGATGTTTCTTGTTCGATGTGATGACTAATTAGATCAGTGAGAAAATTACACATGTAACGTATTTCAGTTTATTTTAAAAAATCGTATCAAAGAACCTAAATACTCTTATTCATTTAGCGGATGCGGTCAGAAAATCGTTGTTATGCAATTTTTTGCGACAATGTCCGCTAATGTGTAGGGCCCTTTATTCTTCAAACATACCCTGTGGTTTTTTACATTTTTTTTATATAGTTCTTTTTCAAAGCAATGCTTTCCTTATTGTGCATTATTGAATATAATTCTATTTACTGTTCAAACTAAACAGTAAAAATATTTTTAATATAGTGTTTATATTTTTGTTTTTAATTTGAATATGCCGTGTCTCAAAGATATCGGTTTGTATGTAAAATAGCCATATTATGTATCATTAAAACCAGTACTTTGTTATTGTCTTTGTTGTATAAACTATTATTTGTAAGTGAATTTTATTGTTACGATGCCTGGTATCAATGGATTTAGTATATAGATGTTTTTAAACAGGACTAGCTAGGTAATATTTAACTTGAAAAAGTGACTCAAGTTTTCGTCTAATTTTATACCGACTTGTCCCGACATTGACTATTATCAAAGACAGATTAGATATGTTTTGATTTATAGCTGATATTTGAATATAATTATCAGTCATATGATGGAGATTTACAAAAATTAATCAATTGTTATGTAAATATATTATTTTTTTTAATTTGATAGATATATTTCATGACATTGTACATTTTATAACACTTATTTTGTTCCGTTAATATTATTGTTTTTTTTTTTCATTTTTAAATGTATTACAATAAAATAGATATAATGATTATATTTTAGGTGAAAATATCCATGTTGTTGATTAGTCTTATGGATGTTGATTTACACCATTTGCTATGCAGTGATAATAAATGGTACCATAGTATTTGTCTTATTATTTAAACCTTGAAAATAATAAGCCTTTTTCCCGATTATACTACCGCAATGTTATATCTGTGAAAAAAATAATAAAAAACCAGCTATACTATAGGCCTTAGGTACATTGCTGATATTGCACGATAAAGCAGTCGTATAGAGCATTTTTAATGTTAAAAATATATGTTACTGAAGCGCCTAAATTTTGCCGATGTCCTCATGTCATCAGGGCGGATAAGTATGAGTAGAGAGTACCACTCATACTTCTTACTTCTTACTAATATTATAAATGCGAAAGTTAAGATGGATGGATGTTTGTTAGAGTTTGTAGCCGAAACTCCTGATCGAATCTGGATAAAATTTGACATAGACGCAGAACATAGTCTAAAAGAACACATGGGCTACCCACTTTTGTTTTTTTTCTAATTCCACGCAGACGGAGTCGCGAGTATAACCTAGTAACACATAATAATTGGAGATTAAGCAATTCAAATAGAGAAACTAAATAATATGTATAAGTGAAGCGTATCACGTTAAAACAGACTATTTGATAATCTCCTTTTGGGAAATCGATTAAAACTTCACAAGGTGTACCCCCGAGCTCTCGTGACCTAGACATTTGTACCATTGCATGATATCAGTTAACACTTATTATTATCCTAACAGAATTATCAATTTATTTTTATGCCAGCAAAGATATGACACGGTACGCTGATATATATCACAATTAACAAAGTAATATTAGATCAGAAAGATTAAAACGGCAGTCAAAAAATAAGCTATTTGAACAAAATTGGCGTACACGAAAAAGCTATCAAAGTGAACGCAATTAAAAAATATATGTTGTCTGTTGAAACATCGGAAGTACTTGATGTCAGATCCAGTTTTAGGATTAATGTCGCCTCTCCGCCAATTTTTTTGGTATGGAGGGAATCTTCAAGTCACCCTTTTCTTTGGGGGGGGGGGGAGGGAGACAGGATTATGTGAGGCTTATACACACTGAAACCTCCTCGGTAGCCTGGTGCAATAGTTGTGGGTTCCGGGATTTCCGTGAAACTCACCGGAACCTGCCTCTCCGTCCCTTAACTGCTATACGAACCCATACGAAAAAAGCTATTAAAGGAGCCTCGCCCTTCCCTAACGCCAGTACTGGATAGCGGCGACAGGACCAGTTTTTTTAATAGATTAGATGTGTATACTAGTTAAAATTACTGCTATTGCCAACTTTTGTAGCAAAGGTTTAATGATTTTGCATTGGATTGGAATAAAACGACAAATATTGATAAGAAAAATATATTTTCTAAAACACCATAATAACAGTATCAAAATATTTCTAAAAAATAATCAATTAAAATCACTTAACTAATGTAACGCTTTAATAGTGGACGTTAATTGGTAAAATAATCAGTTTACATAGAATAAGGGAGTAATTATATATCATTGCCGACACCACGGGGAGGGGGGGCAGGTATCCCGTGGCGAACAAGCCCCTAGAAAATCGAAAAATGTAACAATGATATAAACTGCTTCTAATAATATCATATGGCATCTGCCCCCCCCCCCTCCTCGCTAGACCTAGCCTAGATTATACAAATTAAGAAACAAAGAAGTAATTCAAAAGATGCCTCTTCTAACTGTATAATTGTTTCTGAACCTTGTTGAATGCAAAATACAACCTCTTTGGCTGACAAGCAGTATATATACAGCCAAAGAGGTTGCATACTGGCCACCAAGGCATTTATCGTTGTATAAAAGAAAATATATAAGAAGAAGTCAAGATGTAATCAAGAGAGTTTTAAGTTTGTATATTTTTTAGTGTAAATAAGTTTTCAATAAAGATATGTTTGGTTTTAATAAGTGTTTTGTATTTTTGGCTGCCGCGCTGTCGGTAACAAGTTAAACAAACCTTATTTACCATTAGAAAAACGAAACATAAACAAATATGGTCTCAAAAAGATTAAAATACTTACTGTATTAATTATTACATAACATTAATTCTTACAACAAATCCTACAATTCGGCATGCTTCATATAATAGGTCATTCGTCATATCTATAGGTCATAAAATTTTCAGTAAACCAACTGTGCAGTATGGGATCATCTTCATGTACATAATTGTCTGTAACTCGAACTGGTGTACCGGGCTCCCATTCAAAGTGCAAACTGGTCAAAGGCAGTGAATGTATTTTGTGTAGTGCATTTTCTCCATACTTGTGACGTATTTCCCTTTTCAAACATCTTTTGACATATGTTAAAAAGTTTTCTAAGAAATTAAAGCAGACATTTGGATCCCAGAATTTCTGCAAATATGAATAATTTATTTAAATTATTTTGTTTTCTTATATATCGAAATAAACACAATACAATTGACTAGCTGTCGCACGCGACTACGTCCGCACGAATGAAAGAAAAGTAATAAAAAGCGTTCTTCACATTATGTTCCACACCTATGCCCAATTTCGGCAAGACCCAGTTGTCCATTTGTTAACAGTAATATATATAATATTAGTAAGAAGTGGTGAAGTGAACATTATGGTAGTATATGGTTCCCATAGACTAGTTGGATCTTGTTTTTCTTATAAACCATGACACTCTCATATATAAACTTTATATCTAAGTAATATCAAACATAATTTTTAATAGTTAATTCTGTTATAATTACCCGTGACATTTTTGGTAGATCATCTAATTTATATACTTTTAATTCTTCAACAATACCATTATCATTTCTAAATCCACATAGAATTGTGTCAACACCGGCCAGAAATGACTGACACCACCATCTCTTTGTCTTGAACTTCCTGTAAAATGTGATTGTTAAAATAAGTTGGACAAAATGTTTGACAAAATTTATTTGTATAAAGACAATATAATGGGTTATTTTTGTTTGATAAAAAAAAATCAATTTAAACTTTATGTATGTAACTAGTATGCTAAATCCTTTAAATGTCTTAAGCAAAAACAAATTATAATATGTTAAGATTTACTAATTATTTTACGGCTGTTATGAGTCTATTTTTCCGGTGGGGGCACTGACGAGTTCAATGTCAAGAACATCAACAGTGACTCGTCAATATTCAGCACGTCGACATCGTCGCCGCCGGCGCACGCTACGGCAAGTGCGTCACCCTCGCCCTCCGCCCCCTTAAGCCGCGCCCCTCGTGCGTTCGCCCGTAGTGCGAGGCGCGACGCGACCGCGATACTCCAGTAATACTCGCCCTGAAGATGAACCCCCGAAGAGTCCGAAACTAGTCAGTGCCGCCAATGGAAAAATAGACGTGAGTAATCGCCGTAAAATAATTAGTTATAATAATGTCTCACGAAAGTTTAAATAATTTAATATGTTAAAATTACCTAAAATTGTTTTCTTGATGGGGAAATTCAATATGTCTGCTAGTTTTTAATTCTATAAACTCCTTATTAGACAAGTAGTTTATAATATTATCCTTTTCATCTTTTATGTCCGGAGGTGATGCTACACTAGTTTTATCACATCTAATGCCATCCATTTCAGCACCATATATTATACTATGATTGTTTAGATGTGTTTTAAATATCAAAGAAAACTCTTTATTTTCATCAAGAGGTAAGTGAGGGGTAGGCTCGGCATGAGGACTTTCTGGAATAAAAAAAAATGTATCCATTTCATCATTATTGGGACAACTGTATTCTATTTATTACACTTCTTTGTTATGTAGGATGTCAGCAGTCACAGAATATATTAAATTTTTGTTTATAAAAAGCTCTAAACCTACAACATGCTATAGGCTATACATTTTCACACTGTTTAATTTAGGGGGGGGGGTGAATATGTAAAAATATTCATGTAAGAAAGGGACATAGGTTGTTAAGTTTTGTTTTCAGAGATAATCAGACCAGTAATATAATTTGAACACCACAAGTAATATACATTTAACTACAAAAACTATAATAAACTAACCTGATAGAAGATATTGCTCAAATTTAAATCCCCATGATGTAAATTTTTGCTCCTTTTCTGTAAAGTTTTGTTTGTTTTTTTGCTTCTCTTCTGTATCTCTTTGACATAAATATATGTTGCCTTTAAAAAGAATTGCAACCAATCTCCATCCATCTTTTTTTTCATATGGAGTACATGCAATACATGTCATTAATCCTCTGTAGCAGAAAAACTGTGCTTTATCTATCAAATAATTTAAACATAACTTCAACCGCAATTCATTCTCCAATAAAAACTTTAAAAGGTTGTTTAATTTAACATCTAAACATTGAGGCTTAAGCACAGCTTTGTCTCTTAGAAAATCCAAATCAAATTTGACTTCTTTGTTTTCTATAGTTCTCGCAAACATTAAATTTTCGTAACCGATATACCCTATAATTTTTGGTTCTCCAAAAGAAGGAAAAGCCTTATTGTAGAATGTTGTATTCGTGTGAAGTTCTAGTTGCATTGTTAACATTACAAAATATAAGGTTTTTTAACAAAGATTTCAATTGATATTAAAAGTATAAGTTAGGCAATTCTCAAAAACAGATTACAGATATGTAGCAAGTTTGAAAGATTGTATAAGTCAGCCCCATCTCTATGTGCATGTCCATATCTCTAACAACGCATGGCATAGGCATATTACTGTTTCCTTTTTATTTTTATAATGTTTTAATATAAATTTACAATTCCTTTGTCCATATTCTACTCCATTGATATACATTTCATAGAAATATTCACATTTTCATATTGATTTTAGACCATTAAATGCTTCTGTATAATTTATTAATGCATTCATTTACTTATATACAAACAAACAGCCAAGAACATATAGAGTTTAATAGCAAGAATATTAATGTTTACAAGTATTACTTTTTTGTATGCAAATTATCGAAATCGTATCAAATTTATTAAATGTCATTGTCACTGTCACCATTTTTTAATAGATTATGAAAAGTCGTTTAAAAGTTTTTACACGCTAAAAATCTCTCTTCTCTCAATTCCAACAAGCATATTAAGAATTTAGACGTAGAAGTCAATAACGATAGTAGACGAAGAAAATACGTTACTCTTATTTTTACGAGGGAATCGTGTATAATAATGTCTTCTATTCTTATGTACTCTTTGGCGGATAGCGTCATTTAATGCATAACTGTCAATTTAGTAGTCGTTGGTTTAAAAATGTAGGAAATCTTTTAATTACATATTTGTTTTGTTCAGAATCGAAGAAAATATCGAATAAGGTTTCAAGTAGTACATAGAAAATAAGAAAAAATGACTAAAACATTCCAGAAATGTAGGCTGTGCTCAAAACTCGGGGATTTTTGTTCAATTTTTGATGATGATGGTACCATGAAATTATCGGACATGGTTATGGCTTTTGCTGATGTTCAGGTATGTATGTCGTTGTTTTTATGTATTAAATAACAAATTTGCAAAACAACCGTTAGTGTCTTAGAACTAGGTTATTTGTCTTATAAGCAATTCCATGCGATCATGAAGTATATCACACGGGCATGTTAATTTATTTCGTCAACAATAGAAAGCTAGGAGAAATCTTGTTTAAAGTTACCTAAAGTTACCCTACCCTATGCGGTTTTATAATTGCTTCTGACTTATTATTGAAAAAATTATATTGCCATTCCTTTTGAACACATAAAAAAGGGAACAAATAACTTGATTGCTAAGCAACTTTTTAAAAAGATATTAGCAATTTTTTTTAATTTACTATTATTTCTTTTACTATTCCAAGTAAGCAAGGCATGTGCTAGGATATGATTTATGACAAAAGTCGAATGGTGGAATCAAACCCATGCAGAAACTATAAGACTATTGGCGCTTCTGTTATAAAACATGTTTTGTTTCAGATACATGAAGGTGATGGTTTATCAGACAGAGTGTGTACAACTTGTGTGGAAAATTTAAGCACTGCTTATTTGTTTAAGCTTCAATGTGAAAGAACAAATACTTTACTTCATAAATATCCAGGTAGGTATTTAAAATGTTTCTAATGTGAACACTTTATTCAATGCAATTTATAACCACAATCTTTGTTTTAGAAGAACAATTGGAAAAGCCTATAGATACAAACTTTGATGACTTTTATAATCAAGAATTTCACATACATTCCGATAATGGATTAGTTGAAGGTAGGAATGATCAAAATAATGTTAAAGACTACACCTTTGATGCACATTTGAAGACAATTGATGAAATTAGTGATGAAACTGACAGTGATGTTGACTCGGTGAAGTGTGTGTATTGTAACCAATCATACAACCACTATGGAGCGCACACTTGCAATGTTACTTGTACAATTGAAAGAAATGAATTACAGCAATCAGGAGTTGGCTCTGAGATTGGGTCTGGCAGTGACGAGACACTTGTTGCCACTGACAACAGTCCTCCTGTCACACCTGTCAAAAGTACACATTCCAACAATGAGCCAACACATGTTAATGTACAATGTGTACTCTGTGAACAGAAATACGATAATTACGATGATTATGTTATTCATATAAATAGATGTACAACAAATGTAAAGTTGCAACATTATGTATGTCCAGTGTGTCATGAAATTAACACAGATAAGTTGGTTTACTTGGAACATTTGAAAGATGCTCATTTTAAAGTTGTCAGATCAATTTATGATAGTGGAGAAGACTGTGTTGATTCTGTTCCAATATTAGTAAAGACAAGAAAACCTAAAGTTGTGCGTCGCCAAATCGGTTGGTCGATTGAAGATATTTATCAAGAGATTGAATGCAAACGAGTTGAAGATAAAGAAACACCAAAATCCAGTCCATTTAAGTCTTTTCTATCAAAAATTGGGAGCGAGTGAGTTTAAACACAATTTTGGCATGGTCAGAGTCAAGATTGCATTATCACTTCTTGGGGCGCTTATACTAACAAGACATTGAAATGTAAAATAATAACATAGGTACTTAATTACTGCTTCATTAGATGTATTTATTAGAATTATGAGCTTACGCTGGGACAATTCACTTTCTGCATTTACTAATCATCTCATAATACAGGTTCATATTTGTCAGTGAAATGTACAGAAGCACAGACATTCATGTTTCAGAACTTCAAGCAAGCATAGTACTCCGAAAAAAGTCACATTCCGCAATTGGATTGAAACAAGCAAGGCTAAAACATCCAATTACTTTCCTTTTCGTAAATACATAGACAACTATAGGCTTAAAAGGAAATCTAACAACTATGCGCCTATTAACTCTAAATCAGTTACAAGCACAATAAGGACCACATTTCCTGAAGCAACTTCTGGTAAATTCTATTTAATTATATTTGTATGTTTTGATTGAAACCCATAGTTAAAGTATTTAAAACTGTTAACACTAATTTTTGTCTGTTTGTGTGTCAATAAAAGTTTAATTGTCAATTGACATGTATATTTAAAATTTAAAATGAGTTCAGTTTTAACTGAACAGAACTGAATTGGTGAATGGCTTTAGTCATCAATTATTATAGAAATAGAAATACAATTTTGTATTGTCTTCAGTTAGATCTCTTTACATTTGTAAATAAGTATTAATTTATTTTATATTAGTATAAATAATAATGTATATGTCGAAATTACAGATAGTGACTACAATTCTCCGAGTGGTACTTCAGAAGATTCATGGAAAATGAAACAAAATCTGATTTGTGCATGCGACAAAAAAGTATTCATGTTGTCGGAGCTTATTCATGTAAGTAATTCATATTAATATAATAAAATAATCTACTTTAATTGTTTATCATTACCAAATATTTGACAAAACATTGTTATCTCTATTTGCAAAAAGAATAAAAGGGACTGCTGTGTTTTCACACTTGTATGTTTTAATGGTAACTTTATTTTGACCTTTGTTTAACCTGAAAAAACATAAACATTGTTGAGCTGACTGCCATCAATTTATATAACAGATATTTAGGTTGTAATGTTTCATTGCATATGTCACCAGACTCCACTCTAATTGAAAAAAAAATTGACCTACATGTTCTTCCAGGCTATGTTCTACATCTGTAACAAATTTCATAGTAATACCATTTATTGGTTCTGGAGATCTAACAAACATCCATCTATCTAAACTTTCACATTTATTACATTAGTAAAAAGTAAGAAGTAAGATTGGTTAAAATGGGATTTTGCAAACCTGTGCATATTTCAGTAGCAATAATTTATTTAATATTCTTTAGAGTCCCTGAACAAGAGTTGACATATATTTAAGCTAAAATGTATTTAAAATGCTCTCTAAGTTTATCATGGCAATGCAGTGTCATAAAATTAAATTGCTGCTTACAGGATCGAGACCGAATCGTTGCAATGATCAACGAATTAGGCGGCGTGGTAGCGGAGAATACAAAAATGGAGATGATGGCAACACATTTTATATCAATTCTGCCCAATGATACATTTACTGGGATGATGGTGTGCTCCCTTGCCACCGGAAAATGGTTGCTTCATGTTAGTTTCATATATGATAGTTTCCGATGCAAGAAGTTTTTACGTGTAAGTGAACTTTTTAATCTTGAAACTACATACCCACGAAATAATAAAAACGCAGCTCAATTTATATCAATTTATATCAAACTGGGTATAGAGTTTTCTGTTGGTAAAGTATTTATTAATACCACACAGTTTTTATCCTACTAGAATGTTAATGTGTTTTTTGTGCATGTAAATTTATTTTGTATAGAATTTTACTCACTATAATTTAATTTTTACATTTCGAAATTCTTTTCCAAAATGTTTGACTATATTTAACTATAATATAAATGGATTTTTTTTAATTACCCAGTTTTATTTCATGTTTGCAAAAATTATACTTATATCAAAGTTTATTTAATTTTAGGAAGATATGTACGAATGGTTGAAACATCCTAAAATAGTGGAATTGGACGCAACTAACGTGGAAGTGGCGAAGGCGGCGGTGCACTGGCATCTAGAGCTGCAGTCTGTCGGCGCTAAGTATCCCTTTGAAGGAAAACAAATTGTTCTCATAATGAGAAAAAAGTATAGACAATACTATCAGATGATCTTCAAGTCTTTGAAAGCAAAAACCTTGACATATGATCCGAGGCAAGTTTTCTAAATATTTTTTCATATTACTTTTATTTATTAGTGTAAAACTTTTCGAATCATACACGTTCATTCAACTAATATCTAAATTATTCATTTTAATCTGGTTTGACATTTTAAAGAATCTGGGTTTAATATTTTCTTCACTTGATAGTAAAAATGAAGGTAGTTTCGGTGTTTTTCTAAATGAAATGTTTATTTTTCTAGGACCCCAGGCAGCTGTTGTTCCGCCGATTTTTGTTTTGTCGACATGAAAATAATAGAAAGGGTGAAACTTCGCTTTTTCTTCCACCACAATGTACCTGTTTTTCCATATCAATTTATTTTGGTCTACCTCCTGAAGAAAGGTCGCGTCGAGGACCAACAGAAATATATGCTTCAGGATACCGCTAAATTTTTACCTGAAGAAAAAGTTTGTTTTTTAAATAATACATTTTAAATTTGGTACTGATTTTTTTTAAATCTATTTTTTTAATGTTAAATCATTTAATCGATTTTATTAATCGTTTATATTGACTAAGGGTGCATGGATGGGATCAATTTTATTATACATTTTTATACAATTTGCCATATTAGAAAAATATTATATTTTAATTAAAGATATTATTTTATAAACCTTTGTTTTATTTGTTCCACTAGCTTAGCAGAACGAATATTTCGTGGGAGAACGAATATGTTATGTAGTATTGACATATAGATAAAATACATATAGTTTCTGCCCACGACTTCATACGCGCGGAAATAATAAAATCGTAGCATGTAGCCTATGCATTCTTCCAGCCTTTTTTAACATCAAATTACATCAATCAATAAGCCGTTAACTAACGCATTTATGTTAGAAAGTGAGAAGACTTGCACGGCAATTTAAACTTATTTTGAAAAGATATAAGATTGCGATATCACTTTCTCATGATTACCTTATTGTATACACAAGCCAATACCCAACAGTCGCTAACAAGACGCCCAACATGCCCCAGATTTGTTCGGAGTTGGGAAATTCATCTTCATCATACGTATCTTTACTTTCGCCACAACCGCATAAATTACAAATTAACGTTAAAACCATTTTGACTTCAAATGCCAGGATTTATTTTTCAATGACAGATACATATTTGGCAAATGAAATGTGATAAAAACCTCCTTTTTTCTTTCTATAAACATTTTGAGTTTTTAACAATGTTTTCTTACACCATAAAACAGGCTTCCAGTGTAAGTTACTGCATAATTCTTAAGCCTAATTTTTAGTTCCTCTGCCCCAACACTTTAATTGATTATGGAACTTTCCATGAGGTTTATATATTAATCTATTATATGCATTTTTCTAGTGTTTGTACGGAAAAGGACAATAAAAAATAAACGAACATTTTATAATGATATTTGTTGCTAAAGTTTATAAAATAATTTCCTTTGAGAATATTTTTTGTATGAGATCAGCAAACATCCGGTTTTTAATGTTTTCAGTTGGTACATCGAAGGTGCGATCCTCTGTCACTTGTGCAACATAAGCCAGCAGTGGTAATGATATCGAGTTGAATTCTTCAGTTTCCGATTCTTGTAATAAATTCGCAAAGATTGTAAGTTTGTTAATAATCATAACCACTTGATATTCGTTGACTGGTTCCTGGATGTATTTATACTAAAATAATATTAAGCGTTAATAAAACTTAATAAAACGATCGTTTATCTATAATAATATTTCAATTTGTTTGCAGCTATAATAGTAGTAGAGTAGACTTTCAATATTATTATAGCTTTTTTAAAATTTGACATATCTTATCTTAATTTGAAACTAGCCTTCGCCCTCATCTCCATAAATGTGGAATTAATAATAACAAAAGTAGCATATGTTTCCTTCCAGACTATTCGCTATACCTAGTGCCAACTTTCAATGAAATCTGTTCAGCAGTTCAGGTTATAAACTCTAACAAACATCCATCAATTCGCTTACAATATCAATAAGAAATATGAAGCAAGATTCATCACATTAGACACAAATTCACTTCTTTTTTTTAACTTATTTTTTAAAACAACACTATCTTATTTCTATCTACTTTCAAATGGTACATACATCCATTGAGTTAAATGTTTAAAATAAATAATGCAAGTTGCATTTGCATTAACACATACCCTAAGTAATAGAAGGAAATTTCTAAAGCAGTGTAACAAACATGCCCAAGTAGATACCGTGCGGTGATCATTCTCAGCTGTTACAATCATACATAATGACTTGTGGAAAATGTCTACTTTCAATGTATTATTCAATGTTGACAAACTATCCCACAATTTATACCATTCATCGACAACTGTGAAACATAAAACCTGAAAAAAAATGCTCATTTAGTGCATGGTAATTGTTCTTTTATTTATTTGGAATTTAACTTGCAATCTTGTTCTTAGATTTGATTTTAATTGAATGTGATTTTTTAAATATTCTCTGTTCTGTGACAGAACTAGCAGTTTTTTCTATATATCATAATATGCCACCTTATAAGGTGGCAAATAAGCAAGTTACCGGCTGAATCCCCCAAACTGGTGAAGCAACCACTGCCCATAGACATATGCAGTAGCGGATGCATTGCCTACCCTTTATCGACGGAGAAGACGCACATAAAGAGGATGTTTTCCCTACCTATGCATCTCCTGCACCATCAAATCTGTTTCCTTCCCATCCTCTTATAAGAAAAAGGGTGGGAAGGAAAAGAGGCTAAAGTTGGGTCTCCACACTCATCAGACAAAACATGGAATTTCTCCCACTTCACACCTGTCTTCTGTGTGGTTGTGGTATTTCACCATATAGAATCAACCAATCCTAGCTCCTCAGATGAAGAAACAATAAAGTATGAACTGATATACACTTTAGTATATAGTATGAAAACTTACTTGAGACAAGGAAAATGTTAAGTTTTCGACATCTATTCCTTCATGCACTTTTATGCCTGTTAATATTTCTAAATAATTTTCACCAGGAGTATCCCATAACAATTTGTAATAGTACATGTTCAACGGGTTTTTGTCTTTCAGCTTACTTTTTAACCACAGACCTTCCTTTTCTGAAAAATGTAAAAAATCCAGACTCAAATGTTTACACACACAAAAAAACCTAGTATATTCACACAAATAATACAATAATCTTAAATAAGTAGTCTTACCAGGTATACTATTTTGATAGGATTCCATTAAAGATGTTTGAAATTTTACTGCCAATTCTATGCATGATGGACAAATATTGTCAAAAGTATCCATTTTCCAGCGTTCAATGTCTAACACTTGTGCAACCATTGCTAACATTGGCGCCCTGTATTCCAGCAACTCGTCTAATGTATATACTGAAGACAACATTTTAATAGCAATATAAATTTGAGCATGTCTTTTAATCAATAAAGCATCATGCAAGCTCGGCATTATAACCAAAAGGAGAAGCTTGGCACCAGAAATAATGTTATTGCTCTTCACACAACTGACGAAATTAATAAAATTAATTTGTTTAGCTTCATTGTCTAACTCTCCTACAATGACATCTTTCAAGTTAGTAATAAAACATGGATCTGTGTCTTGATCATAATAAAAATTGGAATATCTATCCAAATGTTTCAAAACCCTGCCCATTATTTCACTTTGTTGTGCATTTTCAGTAGCCAAAGTGAATATTTTATTAAATATCTTCTTTGGATTCTGGATAAACACAGTTAAAACATCAGTTAAATCTGTATCTGGTGCTGCTATGAGTTTGTTAAATATCTTTATTGTCATTTCATTAAACTCTAAGGTTTCCATTTTATCAGTAAAACAATTCTCTATGAAAATTTTATCTAAAATATTATATTTAGAACTTATATCACAATATTGAAATGTTTTAACAGCTAATAGTTTTACTGCATCTATATTTTCTGTAGAATTATTTATGTGCTCAATGCATATTTCATATAACTTATAAAAATCATCGCCTTTAAGTGTATTAAGATTTGAAATAAGTGTTTCAACTAAAGATAAATCTTTACATAGATTTTCTTTTTTTAATAATGCCTGGAGCCACAAAACTCTATCTTGAGTGTTAATATTTTCAATGATATCTTCAGAACTGGTGGTGTTGATGACATCTTCTACCTCAACAGGTTTACAAGATATCTGTTCTAACATTTGAACCACAGGATGATCGACTACACTCTCCAGTTTGGGACGCAGCTTATATGATAGTTCTCCTATTGTTTGTTGCATGGTTTTGCCATTTTCCTCAAATTCACTCCACGTACAAAACACATCAACACTGACACCCATTACGAGTTCTTGCAGACTCTCCATCAATGCCTCGTGACATTTGTGCAAGCACTCTATAACCATGTCATTACTCTCAATAGTTTTAACATCTTGCTTATTTACAACCATTTCCTCATTATATGTGAGCATGTAAATAACAATTTCTTCATTTAATTTATATTTTTGTGTACCATTAAACTCTTCCAAACACTCATGGAGCAAAAGCAACAGTTTATAAAGGCTGTCCCCCAAATATTTATAGAATTGATTTCGCCTTAGTCCTTCTAGTTTTCCTGCATTGGGTGGATTAGAAAAATATTTAACACACTTTTGGAAAACAGTTAAAAGAGAATTTATAAGCCTTTCATCAATATTGAAAAAGTTAAGCCTGCATATAAGTTTGTAGCATGCAGCTGTTACATGCTTTACTTTATCAGCACTTTCTGTTGGATTTAGATATTTCATATGATTTGTAAATGCTTCCGCTACCTCTATACTTAGTTTGGGGCAGCAGAATGCAATGATTTCACCAACAAATTTATTCATATACAGTTTCCAAAACATCTCACACATCAAACATTTGGGCACAGTTGGTATTGTCCAAATAAGAAAATCTATCCCATCAATTTCTACCATGCTTTCCAATATTCTTAAATCAGCATTGAGCATTATATAAAATGCAAATTTTCGTGTAGTTACAATAGCACTTTCTATTAATGAAGACTCGTCTGCATACTTTTCTTTCCAAAAGAAATGCTTTATAGATGTTATAACTTCTTCAATTTCGTCCTCATAACCTACAGCAAAATTAATGATTTAAAATAAATTTATTGTAAATAAAAATCTACATACATCAAAGTTAAGATACTTTAAACTTAAAATTAAGCAAATTCATTTATAATATTCTGGATTTTCTACGCATCTCACCTCCTTTTGCAGTCAGTTTAGAAAATGAGTTGATATTATCCGCTGACAGCATAACTCCTTGTAGAGCAGTTAGTTCCGGAGTAAAATTCATTTTAGGTTTCTATGTTTGTATTTCTTTATAATTTCCAACAAATTTATAGCGTTACGCCGGTTTACAATATTTTGAAATTTTAAATTGTGTTAGAGTGACAGTGATTTTCATTTGACAGTTTGACACTTCAATTTCTGGTAGTCAAAGAGAAATCATTCTTGAATCCATAGGCAATTAATTTTCGCAGAAATTTAAATCAGATTAAAATAAATTAAATGAGCATTTAATAAAAAAAAAGTATGATCTTTATCACCGATCCCCGTTTACACACGGGAACAGTGCACCTGCATCACGGCTGTCTACGAGCATAATCTTGTACATTTGCTATCAAACCCGGGCGAGGTTGCGCCCGGACATACAGTACTAAAGGCCTCGGGGTTGCACCGGCAATAATGAACGGTACACCCCCCAATTAGGGACACAAGGGAATAAAACCACCTAACTAATGCTGGTTAACAAAGAATCGTTTATTAGTTGTAAATTATCACGTGGGAGAGATGTAAAGAGAGAGACGAGTGGCGTATCGACTGATTTCCATATATTAGAGTACCTATTTATTATATACTATACCTATTACCTAGTTATTATATTATATACTTATACCTTTAACCTAGCCTAGTCCTCTACACGGAATAAATCTGTGTAGGTTCTGATAATCGATGCTAGCGCAGCATTACGTGCGCTCCTATTGTAATCACTAATTTCCTGCTAACATTATTATTTTTTGTTAGGCAACGGTTCTGCAGAATCTTGCCTTTATTCCACAGATTACATAATCTTCTCATCATACGGGTTTTGTGTCTTCATGCATCGCATCTACAAGTAATGCGCTCTTTATTTGTCTAGTAGGGCCAAGTTTTTTTTAGCGCTTTTAAATGTAGGATCGATTTGCAGCGCACGTTTATACATGTCTCTGGCTAAGTCGATTTTTTTCCAACGATGATACAAAACACCTGAAAAATAAAATAATTGAAAACTTTTAACGCATCAAATCTTTCACGTATTACTTGAAAATTGAGATAAACGTTTTTGAGCACAAATAAATAACGTACGTCTTTCAGGCTTTTTCAAATTTGACATCTAAAGTTTCTAAAGATAGGGTTGAACTTTTGGTCATGTATTTTTAAACTCCAGTCGAAGTCGCGCAAACTAGCTGAGTTTACCTTACAAAAAGTGTGACTTACCAAGGTTAGCATAGTGGACGGCTTTCACTTTTACGTCAAATAGTTTTATTGCATTTTTAAAAAGTTCTTCGGCCTCCGTAAATCGATTTATCTTACCGTAGATATTAGCCACAGCAAATAGTAATGAAGGGGTATTCGGTAACTGAGAGAGTGCTTCCGGTATTATTTCCAGAGCTCTTTCAGTTTGTCCTAAAATCAAATAAACATCAATTAAATCAGTAAAATAAGATTAGTGAATAATTCACAATATTTCTTGTTCACAAATGTTAAGATTAACATGTTTATTTGAAAATAGCTATAATTCTTCCATATATCATTTTTTGTAGGTCCTATATTAGCCGATAAGCTAAACAAGTCACAATTGTCCTATTATAAACCACTTTTTGGTAGTTTTTTGTAATAAAAACTACTGAATAATATTTTTGTTTCTGAATAATTGAATTGAGAGCCTACTAGGTAGGGTTAAATTTTTCTAAGAGAATAAACAATTTGAAGTATTTACCCATATTATCAAGCATAGCAATTAAATTAGTCCATGCGAATTTATGTTTCTGATTATAACTGATGGCGGCCGACCAGCTCCGTCTCGCTTCATTCGTGTCATTCATTTCCAAATACTGCAAAAATAACACGAAATTGTATATTAAAAAAAATATGTTACTAATAAGGTGATAAAATTAACACTATGAATATCAAATTGTTTACGATTATTTCGCTCAATTTAATTTTATTAATAAGAATTCTTCCTGAATTATAAGTTCTTATATTATATTATATGAGAATTCTGAAATAAAATAAAGTAAAATACGGCTAAATGAGTAGTATATCTTACAGCTTACTATACTAATATCGTAAATACGGAAGTTTAGATGGATGTTTGTCAGAAGGTATCTCCAGAACGCTTCAATAGATTACAATGAATTTTGTGACTGATTTTGGGCATAATTTGAAAGGACACATAGGCTACTTACTAAGTTTTCATTAAATCCGCGCAAACGGAGTCGCGGACAAAAGTAAGTACATTATTGTAGAGTTATAAGAAATATGGTTTTACAGGAAATATTGGATGGGTTGCGTGAAAGGTGACATGATCAAAAAGGGAGTGATGACTGAGAAGACGTATGATAGAGTTATGTGGAGGACAAAAACCTGTCGCGTCAACAATATGGCAGTAAAATAAAAAAGATGATGATTTTGTGATTTAGAATATTTAACAAAAAGCAATACATCTAAAATTGGAATTAAAAGTTTACCAAATTTCCCATATTGTATAAGCAATCTGAATACTGTTGTCGATAATAAAGTGCTGTTTTATAAGCTTTTAGAGATTCATTATAACGTTTCTGTTTGGCAAGAACTATGCCGAGGTTCATCCAGGCAGCGGGGAAGTCTCGTCTGAAATTCATAAATAAAAAAAATAAAACAATGCATCTAGACAGTTAACAAAATCGGATTGTCTGTAACATCGAAAAAAGTCTATATTTCCAAACATGATATATTTGCGTTTCTAATAACAAAATATTGATTTTTTATTTTTATTTTTTTAATTAATTTGTCTGTCTGTCCGCCAAACACACTTGTTCCAGGAAATCTCTGAACAGCTGGTGAATTTTAAATTAATTTAGTTTGATAATATACAAAATTGAAAAGAAATTCAGCTTTTTACTTACTTAACACTAATAGCTTTTTTGAAGTAATATTCCGCTTTAGTAAACTTCTTTTTTTTTTTAAGTAGGTTAGCCAAATTATTCATTGCCTGATAATATTCAGGATATAATCTGTAAAAAAGAAAACAACTATAGAGGATTTATATGAAAGGCATTAACTCGGTAGATTCTTAACAAACGGTACACACTTTTTGTGTATTCCGGTGGCCACTTGTTCGTTTACCAACTTATATTATAAAAAAAAATCCTACGCCACGAAGCAGTGTGTGTTTACGCTTTATTATAATTGTATAGATATAGTTAGTATAGAAGTATACAAGTGTAGATAAAATATTTACCTAATAGCTTCTAGATACTCCGTAAGCGCCCATGATGCATTCTGTCGGGCGTCAGCAACTTTTGCTACATTGTACCTAACTTTGGCATTCAGCGGGCAAACCTTTAAACCACTCATGAATAAATTGTACTCATTCTGCCAATCCAATGCCCTCTCCCACGCTTTACTTGAGTTTAATATTATTAAAAGTATAAATGCTAAAATAGTTAAATTCTGCAAATAAATGGAACAAGTTATCAATGTTTCCATACAAGTATGATGAGAGCCTTTAAAGTTTGTGAAGCACTTATTAAACAAGTGTTCGTTCAAACAAATCATCACTTAAAATCAATAGCACAATAGGCAGGCACCTTATTCATTAGACAATAACTATACTATTAAAAATTGTATGTTATATTGTTGTATCACACATAGCCAACGATAGAGCGTGCATTACGGTAGAGTAGTGATCGTGCCCCAAGTCTCAGAATAATTATTACATAAGTCTGTTAACCCTTCAAAATTTTTTTTTTATTATTTGTTAAGCTAGCGCTTGACCACGATCCCACCTGAAGGAGCTGTCGGTGCAGTCGAAAGATGGTACGAGCTAGCTTAATAGGTAGCTTTTCACTCTTTAAAATCTGGTAAAAAGGGTGTGGTAGTAATTTCATGAGTTATATGGGTTTCGCTGTAGGTTAGTTAGCTATGTAGTAACATACCTTGTATTTTTTCTTATTTAGAATTTTATTGAAACCAATTGATACAAGCAAACAGTATCCGGCAGATGGTAAATATAAGATTCTCTCTGCTATTACAAATCCAACTGGAAACAATATATTCGCAGCGGGGAGGAAAGGAATTATTAGCAATGATACTGCCAAAAGCACAAGCCTAAAACAATAATAAACCTTAAATAAAACGGTAAAGAATGATAAATATATTGAGAACTTATTATGTTTCTTACTTTTGAGATGATTTTCCCTTGTTGGAACGTAGTAATGTCCTAATTAATAATATTCCATACAGATACAATAAAATAATAAATATAATTCTGAAGTCAGTTTTACTCTCTATTAGTTGTATACATCCCATCGACCAATCATAGCACAGCCATTGTGGCCACAGTAGTATGAGAAAGTTAAGAAAATAAACATAGTGGAATGTTGCTACCTGAAACAAAAATAAAATGAAGACACAAATAAACTCTTAGCTTTTGTAAGGGATTTGGTCTGCGCAGAATTCGAAAAATCTAGTATTAAATGCTATTCAGCAATAATGTAGTTTTCTACGATGAAAAAAAAATTATAACTAAACAAGTACTTATTGAGTTTAATCAACACCTATAAAAATACAAATGTTTACACTATATTACTTAGACATTAAAAAACATATAAAGATATAAGGCCGCTCTTGCGCAAATTTTGTATCAGCATAGTTTAAATATTTGTATACTAATTGTTGTGCAAAAAGAATTAAATAAGTATACCTTAGTGAAAGTATCATTTGCAAAAGCAGCGGGATTGTCACTCGGCTTAAATTCTGGTTTTGTTCTGCCCATGATCTTCCATCTAGCATTTACCAATAAAATCCCAGCTAAGAAAACTATGATGATCCTTATCAAAGTTGCTTTAAAAATATTTGTTTTCCTTTTCATCTTACCATAGTTTATAATTACATCATAAACTATACAAAAACCCTGAAAAAAAAATCAAATTAGAAGCCAATACTGATACATGGGACTTAAGTTCGGCAATTTTTTAATAATAAAATCTGTAATAATAAATAATACAGCAGATATTTCTAAAGTAAATATTAATATGGAGAGTAAATCATTAAATAGAAATATTCACTTACCAATACTGTAATACCATATTCCTTAAATAACATAGCAATACCAGCGAGAAGGACTGAAGTTAATAAAAATATGTATGTATAATTGTTGTACTTCATTGATTTATCATAGAATATAAATGATATAAGGAAAGTTATAGTGGCTAGTATATCAGCTCTTCCGACAATCCCTAAAATTGCTTCTACATGGATTGGATGCACAGAAAATAATGCCGCAGCTATAAAACTTATGTCTATTATACATGTGTTATCACATTTTTGAACTCTTTTGACTAATATTTGATAAACATATAATAGGAGAATGCAACACAAGGTGTGACATATTGAGTTGGTTACTTTGAAATGTGTTGCAACCAATTTTTCTCCACTTATGATATAATTGAGCCTGTAACAGAAAACAAGACTATTATCTTTTAAAGTATTAATAATCTTCTAAGGCCAATTAATAGATATTTTTTAATAAATCATATTTATATTATAAATGCAAAAGTTTAGATGGATGGATGTTTGTTCGAGTGGCCAAACGACTGAATGGATTATGATAAAATTTGGTATAGATGTAAGCTACTTGTTTACTTTAAATTTTTTTTTAATTCACGCGGACAGAGTCCCGGGCGAAAGCTACCGGAATTTTCATTTTAAATATTTTATTCCAAATTATTTTAATATATTTACCTGAATGATAATGTCGTTAGAGGCCTGTAGGACTTGTGACTTAAATTACTCTTTATATTTGTACCCCAAAAGTCGTTGTAAAATGTATCTGACCATACTTTAGAAGTCACATCTTTGTTATTGACTATTGCTTCGGAATCGTCAAAAACAAAGTCACCTTTGGTACTAAAATAAAGAGGAAAAAAAGACAACCAATTAATTAGGCCATATTGTTGAAACAACATAATTTTGATTTAATTCAATTGAACATTTTTTGCTTAGGCTAATGTCGAATGGAATCAAAATATTTTTTTCTCCTCGGCGGCGAGCTGTCATAATTTGGTTATTTTTTTTAAGTTGAACATTGTAAGGTCTGGTTACGAGACCTTTAAGCCACAAAAAACTTGACCAAAACCGAATCGTTTTAAAAATTCCTTCTCTCAGATATGTTTATTAAATTGTTTATTTAAAAAAAAAAACTAAAATAATTGCTATAGTATGTGGAAAAGTAATTACAAGATTCTCAGGTTTGTCAGTAAATATTGATCATTTTTACCTTTTCTGAAGTAACAAAGTAAAATATGACAAAAATGCTGCTTTTTGTCTCCATATTTAAAAGGGCACCAACCAAAAACTACTGTGTTGAATTAATAGAACTTTTTCACACACAAGCCTTACAATATCAGCTCTCAAGACATATAATGGTTATGCGGCTTAAGTGTGAAGTTGGTTTCGAAAAAACGTAATTAAGTCCTCTGACGGAAAAAACGAAATTACTTTCCGAACAACCCAATAATTTAGACTCGTTCTGTAGGAATAAAACAATGATAGTCCAAATAGAGTTTATTATGAAACATTTTGAATGATCAGTGTGACATGGATGTGACGGTGAAGTTGGTGGCG